ACATGGAAAATGCGCCTAAAGTTTGTAAAACAGATAAAGAAGATACTTGTCCACTTTCTACCTCTTACTTACCCTCTCCACTTCCCCCATTTGGCCCTGAATACATACCAGCAAAAAAAATAAATAAAGAAAGAAAGAAAAATAAAACTTACATCCATAGCCATCGCAAGGCCAGCACCGATACTACAACCGGAGCTAAGAATATTGTCTATGCGACTTGCGAGGTCCTTGCGAGACTGCCCCGTGACCTCCGTCAGTTCAGCAGATGGGTACGCATGACTCCTGCCAGCGGAGAGAAGGGTTAGATATGACGTCATCCTTTTGTCCGAATCAGTGACATGTTGGGATTCTTTGAAAAAATAAAAATAATAGATTAAAAACAAAGGAAAAATGGGAGAGAAAGGGATGGAGAGGGATGGCGAGGGAGGGAGGGAGAGAGAGAGAGAGAGAGAGAGAGAGAGAGAGAGAGAGAGAGAGAGAGAGAGAGAGAGAGAGAGAGAGAGAGAGAGAGAGAGAGAGAGAGAGAGAGAGAGAGAGAGAGAGAGAGAGAGAGAGAGAGAGGGGGGGGGGAGGAGGGAGAGAGAGAGCAGAAAATAATTATAATAATAATAATAAAGGAGAGAGAAAGAGAGAGACAGAAAGACAGACAGAGGCAGACAAAGACAGACAAACAGACAGGAAGTCCATACAGAAAAACCTAAATCCCTGACCAGAACTTGATGATCCCGACGAAGAGCCCGTCCGGCACCTCGCGAAGGATCCACCGCTTGACGGATCTCTGGAGCTTGTCGATCCTTCGCGAGTCACTCATCCCTGAGGAGTAGTCAAGGACGAGCGCGATCCTGACGACTTCCGGGCGCAGGACCGTGACCTTCGTCGGGGAGGAGGCCGTGGCGGGAGGGTTCCTGACGGGAAAACGCATTTGGGATATTTTTTAATGTGTACTCTAGGGTTAGAAGGCGTCCTAAGTGTCGCCTGTCGCTACACTGTACAAGGATTTATTATTGTTGTTTTTGTTGTTGTTGTGCTCATTATTGTTATTATCATTATCATTGTTATCATTGTTATCATTATCCTTCACATTATCATTATCATTGTATTCATCATCATCATCATATTATCATTCATTCTCATCATTATCATTATCACTAATATCCTCCTCATCATCATCACCTTAACCTTATTACCATCCACATCATCACACATGATAAAGACAAACAAACTAACAAACAAACAGCAAAGGAAGTCCCACTCACGCCCCCCCTTCGAAGTCAGGATGGAGGCCCATGACGTCCCAGACAGACCGTCCTTTGCACATGAGGTTGTGTCTGCTCGGCGCCAGGACAGCGTGGGGCTTCTCGCTGGCGAAGACGGAGTCGCAGAATTCCACGATCTATGTGTATATATATATATATATAATATATATATATATATATATATATATATATATATATATATATATATATATATATAGGCTATATGTGTATAGTGTGTGTGTGTGTGTTGTGTGTGTGTGTGTGTGTGTGTGTTCGTGTGCATATATATATATTATATATAATATATATATATATAATATATATATATATATATATGTATATATAATATATATGTATATTGTGTGTGTGTGTGTGTGTGTTGTGTGTGTGTGTGTGTGTGTGTGTTGTTGTTGGGATAAGTGATAGTTTCAGTTTATGGTAATAAAAGGGATACTCTTGTGATTTTTTAGAATTATGTCTTAGATGTTTAGGATATCTGTAGATTTTTAATTTTTAAGGTGGTTTTCTAGCGACTTGTGAGTTTGTTTGTTTTTTAAGGTATGTGGACTTTCTAATTCTTAAATATCTCTTTAGAAAAAAAGTTTTGAAAAGAAGTGCTTCTGCAAGAAACAAAGGGAGCATTGCTGACACTGTTCATGTGATAGTATCCCAGGAGGGAGGACGAGGCTGCCTGGCTGGCGTTGGGGCGGAAGCGGCAGTTGGCGTCGGGGAGGCCGTCGACGTAGCTGCAGGAGGCGTTGGTCAGGTCGTCCCTGGCGAGGAAAGATAAGGCTATAATCTACACATCGCGTACATACACGCATATGCACACACACACGCACACACATAAGTAAGCATTCGGTTCTTTATTAAGTCATCAATCTATATATATTTTATATGTGTGTTTGCATGTGTTGGTGCGCGCCCGTAGGTGAGCGTGAATGTCTGTTAACTCGTGCAGAAGGTTTAGTGAAACCTACGTATCACATGCATGAACTTCTACAACTATGAGAGACTACCTTGTCACAACAAAGCAACCAGCGCAATACCTCAGCTCTCCCGACAACTCCCGGTTTGCGCAGTATGTCGGACTGACGTTCTCTGCGCCATGAACTTCGCCCTGAGAATTCCAGAAGAAGGGCGGGGCGGCCGGGTCGCGAGGGAAGCCGACCTCAGCGAACACGCCCCACCGCAGCTTGGCCCACTCGTGCACGAGGGTCTTGCCTGCAGGAGAACAGGCAGCA